TCAGCTCGCCGACCAGTGCCCGCTGAGACGGAGACTCGCCTGCGGCCTGCGGCCGCGCACGAGGAATAATACTGACAAGAATAAGAAGCAGAGGCCGAAGTCGTCGCGTGTGGTCTACAGGACAGTCAACACCACAAGCCTCAATCAGGGTCGGAGGCTTCATCCTCCCTGGAATCCCCGTCACTGTCCGGGCTTCGGCCTCTCTCTTTCTGGAGAGTCGCCCAATTTGCGCCACCCACTCTCAGTCGGACTCAGCTAATCCAAAGCAGCAGAACACACATTGGCGCTGCTCAGCCTGGCTCTGCAGTCGCCTGAGTAAGAAAAAGAAGAGCAACATTAGAAGGAGGAGGAGGAGGAAGAGGACGTTCGAAGAAGTCGTGTGTGTGCTCCGCTTCCTCCCGTCTTTCCATCTTCCCCGCCGCGGCCTGTGCAGGATCAGAGACCTCACCGGGAGGCTCTCGCTGGGAGAGTCCATCAACAGGAGGCAGCGCGGGGGCCGAAGTGTTTGATGGGCAGCTTTTCTTGACAGTCGTCGTCGTCGCCCGCGCGCGCAAAGGGAGGAGAAGGAGGAGGAGGAGGAGGAGGAGGAGGAGGAGGGAGGAGGAGGGCGGAGGAGGAGGAGGTTAAGTCAGCCACGTCGAGCGGGTTAGCGGCCCTCGCCTATTCGCAGTCCCCCTCCCACAACGCAAGAGCCAATGGTGGCACAGCTTGCCATCGGGAGTGCAGCGCGCTCCCAGCTAGCAAACGGAAACAAGAAGGTGCTCGCGCGCGGTCTCCGACGGCGTGGCGTCGGCAAAACAGCCCGTGCCGCGCCACGGGCGGGTGCGGGTTTGTTCAGACATTCCCTGCGCGGCGCTGCGGCGAGAGCAACGTTTAGTCCATTCTCGGGCGGCCACATCTGACATGCGCGTCGAAAACGAACCATGCGCCGCGCAGGAACAGCCTCATGGTTTTCATGCACAAGTTGCCCGCCTGGGCGAGGACCGCAAATTTCGCCCGCTCTCGCGCGGCGCCGCTGCCGCTGCCGCCTTCATGCGATTCGGCGAGTGCAGCATGCGCTGCGCCAACGCACGGACACAGCTTCCATGCGAGAGGTGGCGGAGCTCTGGCGAGGGCGACACGTCGCCCGCTCGCGCGCGACCCCTCCCCAAACGATCTTGCGCGCATGCGTGCCACGCCGAGGCGGGAGCACCACTTTCAGGCGAGGTCTGCGCGGCGCCGAGGCGAGAAGGAGACGTTCGTCCATGCGCGCGGCGGCGGATAGGCGAGCGAAAGATGTGCGCCGCGCCCAAACAGGATTTCAGTTCTCAGGAAAATGAGCGCGGCATTGAGCAAAGAACGACATTCTGCTTTTTTGCGCTCGGGATGCGCTTCTCGACCATAACGAATAGACAAGCGTAGACTTGTCCTTGTTTTTGTTCACAAGGTGGACGGGAGGACCCGGATGGGTTCGCCATAGGCCGGCCAGGGGGCAGAGAGGGGGAAGGAAATGTGTATTGGATTCGGAGGAGGGCGGAGGGAGGATGAATGCGTGAGGAAGAAGTAGAAGGGGAGAGTGAGGGGAATTATCAACCTCGTTGTAGGCTTAAGGGGTACCAGAACCATCTTCATGGATGAGGTGCTCAGAGAAGTACTCGAGACCGTGCAACTGCAGGAAGGCGAGTACCCGAGTACCCAGGAGTTCGCCGAGAGCAGGCGACATCCTTGAAGTTTGAGGTGCGACAGAAAGATTACCATGGGGGGCGGAGTGGTGTCCATAGACAGGGAGGGGGAAGCAGAAAGGGAGGAAAAGCGAGGAAGGAGATGGAGGAGGAGGGAGGAGGGCCTTGGCTTTTTTTCTGGGCGCTCGGGGTCGGGGAATTTCTTTTTGGGGCTCGGGATGTGTGGGTGTGAGCTGAGCGGGGGGGCGGGCGCGGTTTTTGTGGAGCTCTGGGTGGGCTGGAGGAAGAGGAGGATTCGGAGGAGGAGGAGGAGGAGGAGATCTCAGGAGAAGGAGGAGGAGAAGAAGGAGGAGTAGAAGGAGGAGGAGGATGAGAAGAATAGAGGATCAGCGGGAGGGAGAGAGGGAGGGAGGAGGAGGAGGGAGAAGGGGGAGGAAGGAGAAGTGGACGAGTGGGAGGGGGGAGGGGATGATCAAAGGGGGAGACGGAGAAGCCCTAGTGCGAGGAGGATAGCGCCGCGCGAAACGCTCGGGCTCTCCTCCCTGCGGTTCTGGCATTTTTCACAGCGCCGGGCATTGGAGTAAAATGAAAAAGGGAGAGAGGGAGGAGGATCGAGGATCGAGGGTTGATGTCCACCGATCAGAATTTGTTTACGATGTTCATTGTTATTGGTCAGCGATGCAGTTTGTTTACGGGTTATTTTCGCCGATCAGGGTTTATTTGCGATTCTTATTGTTTACGGTTTGTTCCCGCCGATCAGGGGTGTTTCTTGTCGCCACGTCTGGATGCCCCTCGAAGTGCTGGTCGAAACGCGCCCACGGAGAGGTGTGGCGGTCGATTTGTGAAGCGGGGCTATGTGGCAATCTTTCCTCCCGTCCCATTTATCCTCCTCTCATGCTCTTGCAAGAGCTCGTCTGCACAACGGGCGGACGGGCGCCCAATGGGGTCGCCATTCCGGCGAGAGCCCCGCCCATCTTTCTAGCAAGGGGAGATTCGACAGAGCGCATTGTGAGTGCACTGGCAGGGGGGGGAGTTGCACCCCCCCGCCCGGCGCAAGGGGTGGGTTCCAGAATCGATACCCCCTGTGTTCACGGGGGAAGGGTGGGGACGTTCCAGAATCCCCCCCCCCACCCTGCTCGCTGCTGGCACACGGTAATCGCGAGCATGGCCGCCAGAAGACGAGGACGTCGACGTCGACGACGACGACGACGACGACAACGACGACGACGGACGATGGACGATGGACGGGCGACGGACGGACGGACCGACGGGCGACGGACGACCGACGACCCACGAATGAACACCGAGGACGGACTCTGGACGACGGCGACGACGAACGACCGACGAACGACCGACGACCCACCGACGACCGACCACGATGACGACGGCGACGACGACCGATGACCGACGGCCGACGACCGACGGCCGACGACCGACGGCCGACGACCGACGATCGACGACCGACGACGACTACGACCTCGAACACGACCACGACGACGACGACGACGACCATGACGACCGACGACGACGACGACCACCACCACCACCACCACCGCGACGACGACGAAGACGAGGACGACGGGTGATGGACGACGGACGACGGGCGACGCACGACGATGACGACGACGACGACGACGACGACGACGACGACGACGACGACTTCGACGACGACGTCGACGACGACGGCGACGGACGACGGCCAAGACGACGACATTGACAACGGCGACGGCGGCGGTGGCGACGGCTGCGGCAGTCGCGACGGCGACGGCGGCGGCGACGGCGGCGACGGCGACGGCGACAACGACGACGACCATGACGACGATGGACTACGGACGGACGGACGGGCGACGGACGACGGCGACGAAGATGACGACGACAACGATGACGGCGACGACGACGACGAAGGAACACGTCGACTTGCAAAGTAGATGGCGCAACATATTTTAATGTCCTTAGGATCCGCCCGCCCGACCCGACCCGCCCACTTAGGGTCCGCCCACCGGGCCCGACCCACCAGTTAGGGCTCTTGCGTGCCAGTCCGATCATGAAACATGTCTTACTGTCCCGCCCGCCTGACCCGACCCGCCCGTTAGGGTCCGCCCGCTCGGCCCGACCCGCCCGTTAGGGCCCGCCCGCCCGACGACCCGCCCGCCCGCGTCGTCGTCGTCGTCACTGTCGTCGTCGTCATCGTCGTCGTCGGCCGTCGTCGCCATCGTTGCTGTGCGGCGCTTTCGATTCGGTATGTGGCGTTTGCCATTTCCCGTGATGTGTCCTGCGAGCAGTTGTTGCTGATTTGTCCGCCTCTTTCTCCACGTCTGTTGTGGGGGCTCTGGTGGGTCTCGTGGAGGCCTCGGGAGCGGCTTCTTACACGGGTTTTCAAAGCTCCTGAGGGTTTTTTGGAGGCGTCTTGGGTGCATGATTGGGATTCTTAAGGGGCTATTTTGTGGAGGAGGACTCCCGCGGCCCCAACGCCCCGTCTTGGCCCCCTCGTGGGGCCCTTCTTCAAGGCTTTTAGGGGCAGTCTTTGGGGCCTCTTGGGCAGTCTTGGGGCTGTCTTCGGTTTCTCTGGGCCCTCTCTGGGGCCGCTTGGGCTGTCTTGGGTCGGTGTGGGGGGGGGGGGGCTTCGCGGGTTGCATGGGGCTTTTCCGAAAAGGCGAGAACGCGAACATGTCAAAGAAAACACATTGAAATGAATTACGTGTGCCTCGTAAGTCCTTCTTGGGCGTCTCGATCTTCTTGAGGTTATCTTGTGTGTTCCCGAGGCGTCGCCCGCGTTTGGGAGCCCTTCTGGAGCAATCTCAGAAGGCATCTTGCGCATCTTGGAGGCCGCAGCTGGTCCGTTCGGGGGCTCCGAGGGCCCTGGAGGTGCGTCGGCGAGCCAGTCGCTTACCATTAGGGGGGGGCCCTCTGATGTAATGTTGGATCCCCCGGAGATTGAACGGGAGAGGGGAATAGCCAATCATCCCTCACGCCCCTCTCGTCCTCAGCAGGTGGGGCTCGGCGGTTTTTGGTCACGACGCGAGGGGTCCGGGGCTTGCCTCCTTCCCTCTTTCGCCCCCCTCCTTGCCTCGCCATCCTCCGCACGGTCGGCTCTGGCTCTTTGCGCCGCCCGCCGCCCTCTCGCTTCCGTGCGCTTGGGCCGCCTGGGGCCCTGGGGCTCGTGGCGGGGCCTCCCTTCGCCGGGGAGAGCGGCGGTCGGAACAAGAGTACAGTCAAGACGCTGAAAGAAGGACCTCTGCGGGTTCGGATGGGGCTCACAGTCCCTTCGGTCATTCCGTGGCTGCTCCTCCGCATCGCCCTTCTGGTGCACCCAGGCTCCTCTGGTGCCCACCGGGGGCTCCGCTCCTCATTGAGCGCTCTTTGTCGCAGCAGCTCGTCTCTGCCCTCCGCGGCTCTCGGGGTGAAAGCTTCCGGCAAGCTGGCGCGCAGACTGCTGCAGCGCCGGGTCCGACCGACCGCCCCCCCCGCGCGAAGGTGCCACTCCCTGCTGCAGGACCCGCGGGCGCGCCGGGCCAGGGCGGGTCTGCGGGGTCTCCGTGGCCGCCCCCCGGCGCGAGCGTGTCCCTGCCTTCGCGCCTGGGCACGAGCGTGTCCCGGGCAGCGATGGGGGTCGCTCGCGGGAAGCAAGTCCATGCCCGCAGCCTCGCGGGCCCGGCCCCTGTCGGGCCGGACGAAAGGGGGGGACTGGGAAAGGGGGGGTTACGAAATTTGCTGCGTGCAGCTGGTTTCGGCCTCACCGAGGGGCCCATTCCTCGATACATAGCCGCCTCCGGCCCCGGGAAGATCAGCTACGTGAGCTGATTCTGAACCCCCCCCCCTTTGCTATCCCCTCCTTTCGCCCGGCCCGACCCTGGGCCACGACTCCATGGATACAGGGCGTGTTTTCGCGAATGTCTTCGTGCGACCGGATATGCTCGCCGCTCGTTAGGGGGAGCTCGCCACTCCCAGCCTCGGATCGTGAACGAGGATCTGGGAGGAGGTTTTCTCAACTTTCGGTCTCCAGGCCCTTACTGGCGGGCCCTGGGGCCCTCAAGAATCGGCTCGGGATGGAAAGCTGGCCCTGGGGAGGGAGCCGAGACCTCTGGGGATCCACGCTGCAAACAAGACCGCGGTGTCGGAGGCCAGGGCGAAGGGGGAACGCCAACACCTCAGGGGCCAGATGCAAGCAAGAACGGCCCTTCGCTCGAGGGACCTTCTTGTGCGGCTTTCGGAGGGCGCGGAGGGGCCCAGCCCGAGGCACGCAGGCCGCTGCCGTCGCACCGCGCGCGGCGATCGGCGAGCCGCGCACCAAGGGTCACTCGTGCCTGGGACTTCTCTTGCGAGTAAGCGACGGTGGAGCGAGCTTCGACGATCGAGGACGGCCTTAGACGGTGCTTTGGGGGAGGTTCTCGGCAGTTTGGGTGGTCCCGAGGGGTCCTTCTCCTCGAGCAGGTGGCGGCCACCCTTGGCGCTGATCGGAGGATACCTTCGGCGGGCTCAGGCTCCGCCTGCTTCGCCACTGCGGCTGGCCCGAGTGGCTCTTGCGGTTCGTGGGCGCACTCTGCCAGGGCAATGTCTGCGAGATTGCGATGAAGGGCACGCGGTGCACCAGCTTCGAGTTTTCTCGAGGAGTTCAGCAGGGGTGCCTGTTGTCCCCGCTGCTATTTGCAGTCGCCTCTGACTTGCTCTTGTGCCGCATGCGGAGACTCGCCCCAGCAGCTCCGGTCAGGGCATGCGCGGACGACTTTTGGTCATTGTGGCGGCCTTGGTACTCGATGAGTTACCGATATTTCACCGCCTGTTCGACGAGTATGCGAGATTTTCTGGGATGCGGCTCAACTTCAAGAACTGAGTCATCGTCGCGCTGTTTGCGTACGCCACTTGGACCCACGCGCGGCAGTTGCCGCGCGCGCCGGCATGGGGAGCAATGGCAATCAAGGGCAAGGCGAAGTACCTCGGCTTTGTCTTCGGCTTAGGCGCGGGCGAGGATTCTTGGCTGGGACCCATGGCGGAGATGGTGGACAGGGCCGCGGCGTAGGGCGCCCTTGGCCAGGACATCTTCTACATCGGCGAGGCATTTCGCGTCTTCGTCGCCTCGGTTATCGCGTTCGTCGCCCAACTCCGCCCTCTGCCGGGAGACTTCGTCGCTGAGAGCCGCGCCTACGCGAAGCTCTTCTCAGGCCCGAGCTCGTGGACAACGCTGCATTCATGGCACAGCTGAGGTGCGACGGCTTCCCGTGCGAGCCGATGGACATCCGCTGCGCGGCGCTTGCCGCGCAGGTCAGGGTCGCGCGATATGAGGACACCCAGCAGGGGGGGCTGCGGGTGCGGGGGCGCGCGCGCGCGACGCCTCTGGGAACTCATGTTCGTTGACGAGAGAGGGGTGCTGCTGCCCGGGGTGGAAGCGTGGCTGCAGGCCAACACCGTGTTTGCCGCGCTTGCGGCAGAGGACTGCACCCACGATGCAGAACGGCGTCGCGGGCTTCCTTCGACCCGCGCGGCTCGGCGCCGCACAAGCTCAGCATCAAGGCGTCCTGGCAGGACACGCGCGCGAGGGCGCTGCTGGCGGACCTCTGGCCCGCTGAATTACCCACCGGGGTTCGGGTGAACCGTTTCCTGACTCGTATGCAGGAAACTGGTGGGGCCCTCTCCCCATGCGTCTTGGCCGCTGCCTTGCGAACTTCTCTCACTCAACTGGTCAGACGTTCCCAGCAACGGGGGCCATGCGTCTTCGGCTGCGATTCGGGCAGCGATTGCATCAAAGATCGCGCGTACCACCGATGGTGCGAGGAGCAGTGTGCTCTCGCTTGCCCTCCAGCCGCTCGTTGCCTGAGTATTTGGGGGGATCTCTCTGCCTCGATGGGCTCTAAGTGGGCTGGCAATGCGCCACAAGTTCGGATCTAGACATACTTCGAGCATGCTGCGTTTACGGCACCGCGTCTTCTCTTGCTCGGATGCCAGGCCTGCTTTCGCGGCTGCGCTCAGAGAGGCTTGCAAAAGCGAACCACTGAGCAGCTTATATCAGCGATCGAGGACCCGACGGCGAAATTAGGAGATTGCGTCCGCCGCGCTCGCAGGACACCCCCCCATCGTTCCTCCGCCTCCTCCCTCCTGTCTCTCCCCGTCCTCCTTGTCGTGCTCTTCGTTCGAGCTGGCTGCAGCGGTTCCGACTGTTACGGCACTGTGAGGAAGCGTTGTCCTCAGTTGCTCCGCTTTTATAACAGCCCGAGTTTCACCCCTTAGCTGACACTTCAAACTGGCCGGATTTCCGCCCCTTGGTGGAGGTCGGTGGCGCGACCCAAAGACAATGCAATAACCATGTTTTGGGTCCGTTCATGGTTGCCTCTTGGGCATGGCTGGCGGGAGCGACGGCGCGAGGCGCAGCTGAACTTACAGGGCGTCGGAGGTTGAGTTTCGGCTCCAACGCCGATTGGTTCCAATGCCCCTCACTTATTTTTCCTCCCGCGCTTTCCTCCTCCGCCTCCTCCTCCGCCTCCTCCTCATCATCATCATCCGTCCTCGCCTTGAGGACGTTCCGCCTCTTACTTCTTCGCCCCCCCGCATGCGCGCTGCTGGCGACAAGCGGGTGCACGAATGTCCCTCTTCGCTCTGGACGCTACGCGGGTGACCAGGCTGCCTCCGCACGGCTTCAAGTTACTTACGCAGGTCGAACACATTTTCCTCTTGAACCCCGAATGTCGGAAGCGACGTGCCGTTCAGGCGAGCGGATACATGTAGCGCTCTCTTCGGCTTGCGGCGTGCCATGAGTCATGGGGGGAGATGCGGGAGTTGGCCGGGCCCGTTGTGGCGTTCGAGCAACATGACGTTACCGGAGGATTGTCGGGAGATGGCCAGGCCCGCTGTGGCGCTCGAGCAACCACATGTTATGGGAGGATTTGGGGGAGGTGGCCAGGCCCGCTGTGGTGCTCGAGCTTCCGATTTTGACACTTTGCTTGCGTGTCCTCATTCTCCCCGTCCTCCCTCTTCCCTCTTCCTCCTCCCACCTCCTCCCTCTTCCCCCCCACCTCCTCTTCCCTCCTTTTGTCTCCTTCCGCAGCTCTCCTCCCTCCTCCTCCTCCTCCCTCCTCCTCCTCCTCCTCCTCCTCCTCCTCCTCCTCCTCCTCCTCCTCCTCCTCCTCCTCCTCCTCCTCCTCCTCCTCCGCCTCCTCCTCCTCCTCCTCCTCCTCCTCCTCCTCCTCCCCTTTCTTCCTCCCTCCCCCTCTCCTCCCTGATTGTGCCTCCTCTCTCTTCCCTCCTCCTGTCCCTTCGCCCCTTTTTCCCCCTCCTCGTGCTTCTTCCATCCTTCTTCCCCTCTCTGTCCTGGGAAGACCCTCCCTCCCCCGTAGAATCATAGCTTGGGCCAGCAGATCGACGGTTCCGTTGATAGCCTCATGGTTCACGTACGGTGCCCCGCGGATCCCATTTCCCTTGGGTCCCGGATGTTAATTACGATTAAGGTTTTTTTTTTTTAGAAAAAAATCCAGGAACACTAAATTGATCCATTGGTTTTTCATTCACGGGAAATTGGATCCGCGCAAAACACAAATAGGGTCCACGACACCTGCAAATTATCAATTTGGATCCATCGGTGTTCTCAGCTTTTCATTGTATGAGTAAAAAAACTTCCGGCCGAGTGATGTATGCTATTGTGGCTATTCGATTGCTCCTGAGTCTCGGCGTTGTCTTTGCCCTTCTGCTCTCCTGCTGTTGCTGCTGCGGCCCCTCCACCCGCGATTCGTTACTGCGGCGCTCGCGTCAGTTATGTTATGGTCTTGCCTCTTTGGTAGCGCGTCGAGACTTGAGCCGCTCCGCCTCTACTCTCAAAGTGCGCCTGGGCCAGCTGATGATGCGATTGGGCGGATCGGACCATGTTGGGCGGGCAACTTGCGTGGTGACTCACTGGGTTTCTTACACTATCGCTTGTTATTGCGTTCGTTGCGCCTCATGGTTTGCAGTCCGTTTTGGGAGACGTCGCGTATCAAGCTCGCAGTGCCGCGCGTGTTTCCGTGGAGTTGCCCGGGCGACCAGTTGTGATTTTGATTTGGGTTGTTGCGATCATCTGGAGTCGGGATCGCGTCATCGGGAGCGCGGGCCCATATGTTGCAAGGGTTGTTTGCAAGAAGTCGTGGCCTCGGGGGCACGGAACCGTCGCATTTGATGAGCGAAGGGGGCGGAAGGAGCACGCGACTGGGCGCGATGGGCGGGGGGGGGGCTTGAGAAGATCGCAAAAAACCTTACCAGGCAGTCCTTAGCATTTTACCGCGCGTCCGCAGGCCAGGGGGCACGGCTGCGGATCCAGAGCAAGGGAAGCGTTCGGAGGCACGATCGTGCGAGGGAGATGGTGAAAGAGAACCACGCAAGATGCACGTATGTAGATATGTGTATACACTTCAAACGTGTGTATATATCAAGGTTGAGAGAGAGAGAGAGAGAGACAGTGAGAGAGAGAGAGAGAGAAAGAGAGATAGAGAAAACATGGAGAGGGAGAGAGAGTGAGAGAGAGAACAGTACGAA